TAAAAATATAATAATACATAGTTTAGTAAATCAAAATAATTAAACTTATATTATACTAAGAAATTGTAATGCCTAGGTATTATTAATAATTGTTCAAATGTTCAATAACTTATTGGGTTTTATTTTTGCTTCAATAATTATTTATAATAAGTATATAATTTGTTTATTGTTTAAAAGCGTTGGAACTGTTGATTGGGCCACTTATATTTATATATTATTCTTAATAATAGATCCATTCAATCTAATTTAACTTTTTGTTARTTATAGGTACTATTATATAATAAGTACTCGATATTGTAAATATCCTTATAGGTAATATATTTTTTGTCAAATTGACCGACTGGACGTAAGTTAATTAAAATAAAATAAACTAAAAATGTGTATTTTTTGTAGTAGCCCATAATATTCTCCAAAAAAGATTACAATTTTATATACTTAACACTATTGTTAATGACACAAGGACTTGCATCAAAAAAGAGTACTGTCCTATGAAAAATAGTACKTCTGGTCACCATAACTATACTGTACCTTTACCATTGTTACTACAGTTCACTAGTYCACATAATAATTATTAAGAAGCTTTTAGTTAAATAAATTATAGAAATTATTATTAAAAATAAAATGCGAAACTTACTTTTGAAATGAYTRAAATAAACGATTACAGTCTACATAAGTCGACGTTCAGCAGTAAGTCCCCATTCAGAAGATAATGTTCTAAATTGTAATTACAATAGATAAGTATACGGTATAAAATATACGGTTTTAGAATTGTAATTTGTTTATTTAATACAAGTTAAGGCTTAAGACCGATAAGACGTCATGYCCTACGACCTACGAGGCTACGACTACAATTAGTCTACAACTAGACTAGTGAAATTAATTAGTTATACCCTATAGGTTGTGCATAAGAGATTACGGTTGATATTAATTGGAGGTAGGTAAGGTTATAAATTGTTACCTCCAACGTATGAATAATTATCGGTTCCGATTATAACAGTTCGAATTAAACGGGGAGGGGGGGGGGTTTAAACACCCAACAACCCTCCCGGGCAACCGGGGCAACACCACTGCTTGTTGTATAAATATTAAATTATATAGGCTAACACATTACACGTCTACACACCATGTTGCTGCATGAATAATCACTAAACATTTTAAWGAATCAGTGGTGAGATAACTAACTTTTGATCATGATATCGTGGTTCATAAATCATAATTGGTCCATTAAATATACATTTGTATGTGTTTTTATAGTTGTATGTGATATTAAGACTAATAAGACTTTAAGAGAGTTGAGTAACCTTGRTTTTAGAGCATTTATYGTAAATAATAAAAATGTACTAACTATTCTCTTATAGTCTTATTAATTGAGAGTATTATATTAATATGAAGACATAGTTATTATTATAATTACTATTATTAATGCGTTTTGTAGAATTGTAGTTATGGACGTTATGTCTTATGTTTGTATGAATTTTCAGTATTTTCACTCCACTTAGACTAGGTCTTGAGGACTCTGCGTTTTAGGGTTTTATCTTATTATTTTGATTATTTATTTTATGCAACCGTAAAACAATGACAACGTAGATGTTACAAATAGATTTCACGTTTTGACATTGATAAAGCCAATTTTTAACTGTTCGTTGTTCGTTTTACTGTTTCGGACATGTTAAGATTTATTTATATTAATTGTTAATTTTTATGTTGTAGGCATATTTGCTTGTTTTCTATCGTTTATCAAATTGTCTCTGATGTGGTGATACCAAATAAATTAAATTTGTTCTGTGGTGGTAATTCGGTATTGTCCAGTGTCGGTGCCAGCATTTTAATATCAGGTAGGCCAAGCTAAGGCCTACATTTTCTAGGGCTTATAATATTATGTTAACTTGATGTATATATACAAACAATAGTAATGCCATCCCATGCTTAACATTTTCATATAATATTCTTATAAATCATGATCCTTGAGATTTTCAATAGCTGATTATGATTTATTTTAAATTTAAATTTTAAGCCGGGGCCGAGCAGGCTCCTACCACTGCCAATAGTACTCTTCTTACTATGTCCTATCCTAAACAACCTAAACGGCTAATGCTGATCTCGCAGCCAGAATGCCAAATACAAACAACAAATTATAATATACTATTATACTTATCTATAACTGCCATAAGATATCAAATCCTACTCATTTGCAATTGAAATAATTTACTCTTTTATGTTAAATGGTGGTGTTCGCGGAATTTTTATGTTCAATAATGGATTTGTTGTTTGTAGACATGTTTTTATCGTTTAAAATTTAAGAGATTATGTCAAGAGAATGCTGTGGTTCAGTCATCTAACATATTACATAATGTTTTGACCACGCGCTAAGATAATAATATATAATGGACCATAAACGAACAGCTTATTGGTGGCTACAAATATATATATAGTTACAAGATACATGTGCAGGGCACCCATAGTTTAAAACGTCATCTGTATAAAACATAGACCAAGAATCAAAATACAAAAGTGACGACAAATAAAACTACAAGTAGCGCTTATAAAATTCAGTATTTCAGTTCTTCATGTGAGGAACTTTTTAGTAGTTTTCCCTTACTCCTCTTTCGATCATGTCAGTTTCAATTCATTATATCATCTTAGTCCGTGGTCACAACTTATGAGTTTGTGACTATGAATATGAGCTGAGGTCACTCATTTGCTCTGTGGTTGTATGAATGACATGCATTTCAGTGAATATAGTAATAAATGTTGGAGGAAAGAGTTGGCGAAGAAACTCGAAGAAAAGATGGACAGAATAGAAAATGACACAAGAATAGATGGTGTATGTTAAGGGTGATGTGAATGGATAAAGCACTTTTTTGAGGCACAAAACGTGGGTGCGAATGGCGAGGAATAAGATTAACAGCAATTTTTTTTAACAATATTTAAGATTAAAGTTATTTAAATTATTTTAAAAGCACTAATAACCACTTTTGACTATTCAATATTTGAATAATGATTACAATATCCAAACAAAGTTGTATCATACTTTATCTATAAAATTAAAATTATTAGTTTTTACTTTCTAACAAGAAAATAAAATGTATCTATGTAATTTTATTTTACTTATTATTTAATTGTATTTTATAGATTCATCTAATTCAAAGCACTCAAATCGCCGAAATGGAAAAGCTGTTACTATTCAGCCACAAAGAGTTGAAGCTAACCGAAATATTAGCCTTAAGAAAAACTCAAATAACTGTAAACAGCCGCAACCTCGAGCTAGTCTCTTTTGTAGAAAGAAGAGTTCCGAGGTTTGTTTAAAATAATAAATTTGACTTATATTTTAGGTAATTTTCTGTATTTAAGTACATTTTATTTTTTGTTTTGTATGATATTTTGCCATAATAAATATTACATTAAATATTTTGTATTTTTAAACTGTTCTTCTAATTAATTAAAATTATTAGGTARCTGAATCATTGAATGATGTCGATGATGATGATATATTGCCTGTATTAAGGCATGTGGAACATACTAACAAATGGAATATGCGTAGCGGTTACGGGTMTAGGAAAAAAGAGTTTCCACAGAAATTCAATGTCAAACACTTTTTGATAGCAAAGTATTTTATTTTGTTGCTTTAATATTATTAGTAAACTGAATGAATATTTTATAATCTGTCTGATAAATAATTTTGTTAAAACAGTTGTCAATTTGTAGTCAAGTGTGGAAAAGATTATTCTCATTGGATGTTTGATCAGGATGAAATTGTTGATTGGGATTGCATTGAACAAATAGTAAGCTTGTTAAATTGTTAATTTATAATTTTTATTTATTGTTGATATCAGTTTTAATAAAATATAATATTCTAAAACTATGTTAATAGTAAAAATAATCAGTAGTGTAAATACTGCCGTCGTAAGCATAAATGCTGTAAGTCCCAAAAAGCATGAAAATTAAGTAAAAACAAATAAATAATTATACAATTCGGCATGTATAAATGAACATGCTAAATATTTGAAATATTACTCCAATAGTATAATATAATCAATAATTAAATTACTAAAACACCATAATTCACACTATCTAATCTATACAAAAAAGGGTTTTTCTCAAATCTATAATTACTTACAGCATTTATCTATACAATGACACAATAGTGGTTACTATGCTTTTAATCTAAATAATATATTAATTGTTGCAGAAAATGTTTTCTACTCAATTTATTAAATGTCCTATATGTATGGATATACCGATAACGCCAAAAATGACTCGATGTGGTCATATATATTGTTGGCCTTGCATTTTGCATTATTTAGATATAAACAAAGAACTTGATACTGTTGGCTGTCCCATATGCCATTCTAAAATATTTAAAAAAGAATTACAGAGGTATAAGTTAAATGTTATAAAAAATGTATTGTTTATTATTTCTAGTAAATTTACAATTATACACCTCATTCTAACATTTCATTTTCATTATTTAAAATAGATGTTATTTTTGAAAAAATCGTTAAAAAAATAATATACGTTCCTATATTGTAAATAAATTCAAAAATATTATGTTAAATGCATATAAAGTTTTAATATATTTGGTATTTCTAGCGTTGAAATAATTATTAAAGAGGAATGTTGTGTTGGTCAATCAATAACTTTACAATTAATGAAACGTGCTAGAAATTCATTGCAAGCATACCCAATGTCTGAACTCCTTCAAAATGTTTTTAAACCATCGGATGAGATTCCTTTATCAGTTTGTGAGCCTAATTACTCTACAGCTTATTCCAGACTTCTAATTGGTTATAAAAGCCAAGTAAGAAACTACACTTTTAAGATATTTGTTAACACAAATTAACTAGTGAAACATTTTAGGTTTTAAATATTTTGAACCAAGAAAGGGAAGCGCTTTTACTGCTTTTAGAATACTGGGAAACTGAAGATGTCGAAAAAAAATATATATATGAAGCTCTTGAATTATTATCAAAAAGAGAAAACATTTTAATGAATCAGGAACCAGTAAGCTTATAAAATAAAATTACTCTTTACAAGATAAATTTTAATTTTCTTTTTTTTTTAATAAGAATGATGAAATAAAAGGAATAAACTGTGAGTCTATGAATTCCGTAATAAGTGCAAATATAGGATCAACACCACTGGTAATTTGAATACAATTAGTATATATTATACAGATTACTAGATGATGTTTTAATAGTAGTATACACTCAGTATCTCTAAAAGTATTAAAGCTTTTGGATATATATTTTTAACATTAATTTAAATCCTTACTCAAATACAAAACAAATTTTTAAATTATGATTTTTTTTTAAGTTTTAATCATAACTGACAGCATACATTTTTAATCAAAATAATATGTATTAGAATTAAAGTGGTTAAGATTAAATTTTCATTAGGTTCAATAGGTTAGATACTTAATTTTTCATTAGTATTTAAAATGTAGATAAGTAAAATACATCAGGTGTACCTTGCAAAATTGTTGCCAGTTACTTTACTCAATCAGAGCTTATGACTAAATACTAATTACTCATTAATCACAAAATTCTCAAAAAAAAATTTCTGCCTTAGAATGCAAAGGTAAAAATGTACTGTCATTTAAAGTCTAAAAAAATCAAAAATATTATTATTTTGAAATACAACTTTTATAGATAGTGAGTGTTAATAACAATGTATATAATCAATTGGCATATTATGAAATAATACAAATTTGTGTTTTATAGCAATCACAATGTCAGAACTTTTTTGAAATTCCTGGATGTTCTCATAATGTTACTAGTGTTTTTGATGAAAATCCAAATTTACACATAAAGTAAGATAATCATAATGTACAATATGTTAAGACTTGATATTCTTAAATTGAATAGTTTAATAAAAGCTAAACAAACAGTAACAGTGTAAAAAGTGGGCGATCAAATTGATTAGACAAATCAGATAATAGCAAATTTCCTMATTTTTGATGTCAAATTTAATATAAATTTCATAATTCTAGATAATTAACCAAACTATTTTTCATGTTGGTGTGTGCTTAATTTCAACATTTTGATACTTTACCTATTACTTTTAAATTTTGGCGAAACGTTTTATTTTCAATCTCATATGAATGAATCTATTTTAAATTTTTTTAGAAAATATTAATTTGATTGTACCAAAGATTTAGTACAAAATTGATTTAATGTATTATAATTACTGAGCCACAGCAACGTGTAGCTGGGTCAGCTAGTTATTGTATATTATAAATAAATAATCTAACTATGTTTATAAAAACCAATCAGGCGTTTACGCTTCAAACTGTTGCTGTGGAATAATAAAACATTGTATTGCAGAATTAGATTATTGAATTTGTCGCGTTGTAGATATTAATATTTAGGATTATGTACATACCGTCAGTGTACAAGAATAGTCACACAACTCAAAAAAGTAGATTTTCCAGTACAGCGGATTAAAGATTTCGATTATGCGATAAGGGAATAACGACAGTACTCCTATCTTGCGGCGATTTTTGGAAACAAAATTGTCATCCATGAAAATATGGGTATTTTGCAATGCATTTTCATAATAATTTTGAAAATGCCAATTTTTGAGTTGTGTCAATTTTCTTGTGCACCGACGATACAACTAAATATTAAACATATAGTTAAAAGTCTTAAAACAATTATGATATTAATTAAAGTTTTTGTCCTTAGAATTGACCACTATGACTTATTTTTTTAAAATAATTGGATTCATTATTCATTATACAAAAAACAACTAGGTACTTAAGTATTAATGATGTATTTTAACTTTTAGAGAAATGAACACAAAATTAAATAATTATAACTCTGTTGATCTTAAAGAGGTTTCACAAAAAAAACCTGCCAAAAAGGATTTTTATTTCTATCAAGGTAAAAATACATATTTAACAATTATAAATGTACATTGGTATCTTATTATATTTACTAATTTTAACAGCTCTGGATGGTCAGCATATTTATTTATCTGCAGTTAACGTAGAAATGTTAGAATGTATGTTCGGCAGTCTTGAAAATAGTCCACTGAAGATAGATGCTATTGTAATTGAAAAACAGTCCTTATCAATGACTGAAGCATCAAGAAAACGCTATAGATTTCTGTTACATTTACCTTTAACAACTGTTTTTGAATGGGTTGAATTAGATTTGACTAATATTGTTAGTCAAGAAACTTTATTTATATTTAAAAGTAATTATGACCATTGTAGATACTGACATAGTTGAAAATAATTAATACAATCTTATTTGTACATTTACTGGATTAAATTCTATGAAAAATGATAATAAACATTCTTTTGKATTCAGGCAACTTGGATGAAAAAAAAGCTATAAGAGATAGACGTGCTCGTGATGAGCAACGGCTTGCTAAACGCATTGAAAAAAGAAATTCTGAAAAACAAATGCCACTTCCTGATTGGCATAATAGGAGTTTATTTCCAGAATGTGGTTATGATCCATTTGCAGACAAAAGGTCTTAGTTTTGATAATATATAATAATTAGRGCTCGGATGGTGTTGCATTTGCAATTTTTTTTCTACTGTTCGGATTCATTGCTAAGTAAGTTATAAATTTATTTCAAACGAGTACCAATTAATATATAAAAATTTTAAGTGCAACTTTTTGCAATTTTTTACCTTTTTTCGATATTATTGCAATTTTGTTGGTTGTTGTCATTTTCAATGCAATTTTATATATTTTTTTATATTTTCACTTTTTTTTTTGTTAGATTATACAGTGCAATAATTTTTAAGGTAAGGTAAGGTTTTTTTTTAAAACAAATCAAAAATAGTTTAAATAAAAAGTTTTAAGTTTTGATAAAATTATTTGTAGATTTTTGAAAAAATAAGAAGACCACACAATTTACCAGATTTTTAATGACAATCTTTTTTATTATCTACTCGTTTAAAACCTATCTAATAAAACTTTATAATATTACTTAATAAGATGACTTAATCCGTTTCATAAAATAATTTGTCAATATATTTTTTTTAAATTTTTTTGGTACAAAATATTTTTTTATTGCAATTTTGGGTTTTTTTCACAGCAATAATACAATCAATTTTATAACATATTTAGTGCAACAACATCCGAGCCCTAATAATAATTATAGCGAAATTTTTAAATAATTTATGAATATTTTAATAGCATGATTCCTCTGAGCGAATCAATTGGTATAACTTCCTCTTCAGATCAAACTACATTAAATACTTCTAATGGTTCACCAAGTAATTTATCATTTGCAAAGGTACAGTGTTACTTATTATTATTTATTAATAATTGTTGTATTATACATTTATTTTTTTCGTAATAATAGAACTGTTCAATAAGAAAATAATATAATTTCATCATTTTGATATTATGGGGTTTTTCAGCTCTTATTACCAAAATCGTAACTTTATAAATGTTCCTCTACTCTGTTCAACTAGAGAATGTACTATAAAACATTTTTATTTCCATTTGGAAAATAATATAATATAACACCTATAATTATTGAACTTTAGTTTCTTAAATTATAAAGCTGTCATCTTTTGTATTGTAGGCATTGCAAAATGAAAGTACCACAAGTAACACCTCTTCTTCAGATCAAGTTTTACCTAATGTATCATCTCAATGGCCAGTACTTGGTTCTAGACCAAATTCTATGTCAATGAATAATTTTCTGGAAGATGCTGTTGCCAATATGAACATGCACGGTACTTATTCATATACATATATTTATTATTTAAGAAGACCCCATAACYATATGCGTTGTATCCATCTTCGAAACGTGTAACAAAAACAAAGCACAAATTTTATATTCTGAATAATTAATTTAACACTTATGTTTAATTTTTTCTATTATGAAATTTAGAAAAGTAATAAATATATTCATCTAGTTTTTTTTTTTTTTTTTAATTTTAAAGTGAGTTATGAGAATTTTAAAATGTACAAACAATTTAATTTTTTTTTAAATGCTCATAACTAGTTTTAAAATTGAAATATAACAAAAAAACTGTCTTTGACTAGATAATATTATTAATTCACTCTGAAGTCCAACATTATTGAGTTAGTTAATTATTCAGAGTGTACAATTTGTCATGTTTGCAAGATGAAGCCAACACATATGGGTATAACATTTATGATCTGTCTCATAACCAAATGTTACTAATTTATCTTTGTTGAAACCAAAATGCATAACCATTTTTCTTCTAAAGAATAATTCAGATGTCACCTTGAAATGAGCACAAGTCATCCAACTTAGGAAAATATTACGCTGTTAAAGAAATTTATTATTTAGGCTAGTAATTACTCATCAACCTATGGATAATCATGGGTTGAAATAATAAAATTCTACATTTTTCTGTTTAATTTTAAGTATATTTTCTATGCAAAAAATTCCACAACGTAAACTTGATTATTCGTGGTCTTACCCCAAAATATAAGGATTATGTATTTATATACATCGCGTAATTTTAGATTAGCTTCTTCAATTACAAATTCATATATATCTATTCAAATTAATAATAGTAGTCTGCAGCAGTGTCTCGTTGTCGTCATATTTTAAATATTGTTGTATAAGTTAAAGGATTTTTGTATCAATCTTTGTTATAATTTCCTTTGGTAATTTTGTGGATCAACTATCTTGTTTATTCGTGGTTACTGCACTACTTTATTCTATTATTTTTTTAATCTATTCACAAATATTTTTACACAGAATGATGTAGATTATAAACTAGATTGCTAGGTTCCCTATACTAACTATATAAACGTTTGAAGCCACACATCCGCCATTACTAGTAGGGCATTTGTATCTTATAATTTTGATAACACAATATATCATTGATTTGACTGATTTCTTTTAAACAATAGTCAATAAATGTTTTATAATTTAAAGTATTAAAATGTCTTTTATTATTGAAGGTAACAAATTTACTTTATTATTTGACATTTGTTAAATAATTTATAAATTATTATTGTCTAATTTATTTAAAATGTTGTTAATGATCTATTTTTTTTTAATTTCATGTTATTTTTATAATTTATAATAATAATATATAAACATATAAATTGGGTAAGTGTATTATAATACTATTCTGTAGATACTATTTTATTACCAATAAATTATATTATTATTTATTAATACTTAGGTATATTTAAAGGACCAGTCTTTTAACTAGGTAGTAGATGTATAGGTATTTTGATAAATTAAAACAATATTACTTACCTAATATAAAATCATAACTACCTTTATATGTTGTAATATAAAATAGTTTCATAATTTATTGTGACAAAATTACAAAAATCAATATCAATGACAAAAAAATAAAAAATACATTTAAAATATTTTAAACAAGAATTAAAATTTTGGTGGGATTTCAGCATGCATTTGACCTACTGCAAATGGCGGATTATAACTTTACATAATATCACTAATTAGCAATCTAGTTTATTGTCTATATCTGTGTATTATTATAACTAATATAATGCTAATTATGTATTACCTAGTGATTTTAGCTGTAGAGTAATTTAAGTATATTATGCTTAATTAATCATTGATTTATGGTAATTTAAAATGACTTTTAGATAGTTAAATATTTTATAGAAGATACATTTTAAATAATATGAGTATGACCTGTATGGACAAACCAATTTTATTTAGTAATTTAATTATCAATAATATTTTTTTCTTTAGACAACAAATCAAAAAATCGAAAGAAGAAACGCAGCAAATATGAACCAATATTTTAAAATTATATAACATATTTATTTTATTTATATAAAAGTTATTGTTATGTCATGGAGCGTATTAAATTATTACTAATAATTTACTAATTTAAATTAATTTAAAGTAATATTATTTATTTTTTAGTTGTTTCATAACCAAGGTATGAATGCTATTTTCTTTGTAGTACTAGTAATTGGCTTGTTATACTATATCATAATCAAGTATATACTCTTATCTAACAGCAAAACAATATTTTATTTTATTTAGTTGTGTAACCTAGTTTCAAGTTTGTTTTAAAAATAAACATATTATTCAAATTTGATTAAAAATCATTAATTTGTATCCAGGTTCTATAAGATATCTCAATTAAAATTATATTTTTCCCATTTGGTTTATTACTCTAAATATTATTTAGGGGTTATGATGAACAATAATAAGAACACATTTTTATAGGGGGGGCTGATGAAGCTTAGTCCCCAGGCAGTAAATTTTTAGGGATGTTAAATTTTGAAGAGCATTTTGATATAAAATATAATGACACTCAAATATTATTAAACTGTGATGTTTATTTTTATGAATAAACCTAGGGGTAGGGGTTAGGTAGGGGGTATTTTTTTTCTTGTGGGGCTAAAAATTGTTGAATACTAYGTTTCTGAATATAAGAAATAGTTGTTTTTTCCAAACAAACATTCAGAGAATTTTTTGTTGGACTTAAAATGGAGACAAATTTCCTAAATAACTCAGTACCTCTAAAACTAGTTTACTCAAGCTAGTTAAAATATGTATTCAAAATTAGTAACAATAATTAATATAAAAAAAGGAAAAAACATTTTGTAAAATATATCTATTAGTCTTTCTCAGGCAGTGATGAGAAACTAGATAATTAAATAAATTACTAATATAATTGAAGTACAAATGGACAAGAATAATAGCATCAAAATAATAAAGATCACAAACATTGTACATGTTTATGCCTATGAGTTTAAAAAAAAAAATCAAATTTTCAGCCGGCGCCACCACCACAATTGAATCTTTTATGCATAACATACTATGATACCACAGTGAGCAATCAATAGTATTTGTAATCAATGCTGTTACGTATTTTTTTTTTTTAATCCACCTTTTATGCTTTAAATTTCTATTGATAATAAATCATTAAAATACACGGAATCACACAGAAGATAATATTTATTTCATTTTTGGTGWTACCATAAGTGTAGTAAATGGACTATATGCTTACAAAACATAATTCCTATATTTTGTTTACAGGTTTATTCGAAAAGTAAAAAGCTAAAAACATTTTAGTATAAAATAAAATTAAAAAAAACTATTTATTGCATCATAAAAATAAAATATAAGTATCACCAATACTTAGTTATAACTGTTTTAATAACCTTATTGTTTAATATGCAAATTATTATGTTTTCTTCCTCATAATTTACATTAATTGAGCTTAAATATTAATATACATTGTAAAATAGTATCAGAATTCATCAGTTTACAAGTTTTTAATATCTTGAAATGGTCCAGTGTAGTGTAATTGTAATTCTTCTCTAGCGAGTTTATAACGCTCAATATGCTGGTAATTGTCAAAATGCATTAAAATGGACGTGGTGTTCGAAAAAACCAAATCACATAATGGGCAATATAGCTCTTCTAAACACCGTTCGCTGGTATAATTGTTTAAACTCAAGCTAAATGAAAAAAAATTTTAATTTGTAAATATTGCTACATAATATATATTTTTAAACATACCATTCTTCTAATCTTTTGATTTTACTTAGTTTGAACATCAAGCTTTTACACTCTGTAGCAGACATTTTTGGTGACAAATTAGTTACCCATAGTAGTTTATAAACATCAGAACCAGCCATTGGATGATTAACAGGGCTATTTTCATGGTATGGCGACTGCAGTTTTGATTTTTGAATTTCTGACCACATATATTTTCTTGTATATGGTTCTGGTCCTTTGAACTTGGTGGGTTGACTGAATATACTACATTAAACATATTATGTTTAACAAAGAATACAGAAAAAAAATCAAAATAAAGAACAAATACATACTCTATTAAAGACATTTGTAAGCTATGCTGTACTTGAAAAATATCACCAGGACCTTCTTCGTCATCTGGATTAACACATTTGTTTAGCAGCATTCTAACAATATTAATCTAATAGACAATAAAAACCATTTAAGGCATCTCCAAATTACTAAATACAAAATACTAAAATTAATTTACTTTGTTCAAAAAATTGAGATCAATAACAGTATCAAAGGTTATCTCAATATCATTTTCTTCAAACAATGGCCTACAAGTTTCTGGGTTGTAACCTAAACCACAAATGGCTCCAATCATTTTAGTATAAGAAGGATTGTATCTATGAAGAAATATAAAATACAGTCCACATTTTATTAAACAATTATTTTTAAAAGGGGGTACCTGATTTCTACACATGGAGAGAACATCAGACAAATAATCGCAGGCATCCCAGGGATGTTTGGCATCATTGTTGTATCCCAAAGGGTTAATCTATCATTTTCATTTAAGCAAACATTTCCAGCAACAAACAATCTAATGACAAAATAACAATTCAAATAAAAATAATAATTATAACTATAATCATTTTAAGTTATGTATGTATTTAAAGACATTTTATAATACTCACCTCTCATGGTAATCATTTGGTTCACTATCTAATAAAACAGAATTGACTGATTGACATTCTATTTTTATTGATTTAGAAGTACTATTGCGACTTATTCCTCTAACTGACATTTCTAGTGGACTTGAAGGTCCTTTTAAATTGTGCTAAATTAAAAAGTACATAAATGTATTATATAATAATAATATTAATAAACGCAAAGAAATAATTTTATTTATTCCAATATTATTAAATTAAACTCAATAGATAACAATGAAATTAATTTATACATAAAATATAATGGAATTAGTATTGAAAATATGCAGTATCATATAATAAATGTATAATAACTGATTCAAAAAATTGTATAAGATAAAATTCAATAAAACTATTTAAGCAGAAATTATATTCATAATATTAGAAATGTTGTATTCAGTGACGACCCTACGTATTTTGAGGCCCTGGCAATATTTTAGGTGAGACCTGATTTTTTTTCTCTGCATGCCACGAAATTATTAAAAACAAAAAAGTAAACATGGGGATCCCCCCCCTGACCATGGGGCCTGGGCATTTGCACGGAGTGCCCACCACCTAGCGCCGTCACTGGTTGTACTTAAAATAAAATTATTGAAACTTACAACTGTAAATGATTCATCTACTGTAGGACTTTTTATGTTAAGACATGAAACATTAGATTTTTGATGCATCTCATTCTTAACACATCCTATAAGCTTTAACCGTCTTTCATGATCAATCTAAAAATCAAAACATAAAATTATATTATGATTAACAAATTATAAATTAAGATTTAATAATACATATTACTCTAAAATTTAGTGAATTTACCTCTCACAAAATTTAAAGGAAAGAATATTATCTAGGGCATTTTGTGGGATTTTATTGATATTTGTAATTATGATCATTTTAAAATGTACGAAGAAAAAACCCGTTTAAAAATAGTCATAACTTATTTCAAAATAATATCAATAAAATCCTCCGAGATGCCCTAGATAATATTCTTGCTTTTAATTTTAAAAATTACAGCGTTAAAAATCAATTATTGTGAACATAAAATGTTATATTGTACGTTTGAAAGACTGACAATAAATGCCCTTGTGACATCCTTTCAACAATTTTTGTTTATTATGTTGTAATTCAAAAAATATTTGCTATTTCATATAATTAATATTATATATCACATACAATGAATTWAAAAAAATATTTAGATACATTTTAAGGTATTTATACACTGAACTTAATTATACCATTACACAGGACATCGGTATTGACTAAATTTATTATAAGTTAATAATAGGAAATATTTACGAATATTATAATATTTATTAATAAGCATATAATCTGTTATTAGATTTTTAGCAAAAATTAATTTAGCCTACCATATAATTGAAAAATAAAAACCACTAATAACAATATAAATATATAATTTAAACATAATATGCTAAATTATGAGGTATACTTGAAATAGGCTATAATTTATGATATAAAGACTTACCCAATTTATCCTTTATTCCTAAATAGAGTACAGCTATTGAAAATTATCTTAAATTTTATGACAGATCATTTATTTAACCATTAAAATTTTTTACTAAGTGAATATGTTAAAAAATATTAGTATAAATACCTTTGAAGCAAAAGACTCTTCAGCACGAGTAGCTAATTTATTCTTAATTAAGTACTCTGAAATTGAAATAGTTTCTTCTTCATTAATGAAAGTTAGATCTTCAAATGCCACAACACCATCAACTATAGAAAATATCTGAAATAAAAAAGAACAATTTAAATGTTAAAATTTGGAATAAAAATTTAAAAAATATTTTAATATCAGGAACAAAAAAACATTCTTCAAATCCTAAACAAATTGCATGATAAAATTAAATTATCCAATATTAGGATATTAACTCTTAAATATATAATATTACTTAAAATTATTAATAATTTAGTTTGTTCTGTTATCTCTAAATAAGTTATAAAACAAATCTTTCTACATTATATTTTATTAGCATATTAAAAAACGTTCATGACAAACATCCAATTTTCTTATTGAAAAAAAATTAATAAACTTTTATGCATGTAATTATAATTTTTGTGTTTTGCCTTTTAATATACTATAATCAGTGAAAGAAAAAACATAGTTACATGGGTGATATGCATAGTTTATATTTAATGCTCTAAGAGCATATCAGAAAGAATAAATGGTGTCAAAATGTTAACAGTGGTTATTAGTATCATAACTTATTAAAAAAGTGGTTTACAATAGTAAAAATGTTAATGATAATCAAACTTACCGTTCCTTTTCCTTTTACTTTTTTAAATAATTTATCAATATCAATAGTTCTAGTTTCCTCTGACCAATCCTTCAATTGTCTATTTATGGGTGCACGAATTTTTGCAATTTTACATTGAAAAGCTAATGTTGGAAAACTATAAACTTTTTTTTTCATATCTTCATCTTTAATGTTGAATATGTTTTCAATACACAACTGAACAGTTTCTCCAAAATCAATCAACAAAAACTGAAAAAATGTTTTATTTTACATATCTTATATATATATATATATATATATACGATAAAAATAATACATTACTTTGTATTCTTTTTTAGGGTCACAAGGAGACTCCATTAATTTGCCTCTATATTTTTCTCCTTGATATATCACAATATAAATATCACCTATCCCCAAATTATTTGCAGAAGTTTCTATGAGACTTATTTCATTATTAACAAACTTCCATAACTTAATTAATATACTACAATATTTCTCATCCATAAGYTGAGCCCAAAAACGATCAACAGATTCAAACTGTAAAAAATCCAAATGAATAATTATAAAGATTTTGTGTTACCTATAATATTCAGGGATGGGCAAATCATCAAAAAAAAAAAAAAATTAATTACAAATTACAAATTACTCAAAATACCAGTAATTAATTACAAATTACAAATTACTTACAATTACCAATTACATTAAAAATTTTATTACAATTTTATTAGTTATTAAATTAATAACTTGATTAACTAATTAACTAATTAATTAATTAAAAAAGTGTACAAATTAAATAAAAAAAAAAAAACAAAAAAACATTAGAAAAATGTAGGTATTCAATAACAAACGACAATGAGATGGTTACTAAAGCCTGTGCGTAACGTTGTGTACAATATGTACATTGTACAGTACGATTGTCGATTAATACATAGAACATGGACAATTAAGATACTATAAATGTTTAATATAATATCTGTCTACATGTCTATATTATCTGTATTTTGTAGTAATGTTCATCATAAAATCTTTTAGTATCGGTGCCAAATGTTCGATAACTTATGCTGTATAATTTATATATATACTTTACATTGTAGAAATCCTAAATTGTAAATTTTTATTATTGAAAAAATGAAATTCTTTATACCAATTACAAATTACATAAACATTTAATAATTAATTACCAATTACAAATTACATCAATAGTTTTATAATTAATTAACAATTACAAATTACTTAAGTAATAGAATTACTGTAATTGAAAAGTGCCCAACCCTGCCTAAAATATTGTATTATAATTTTAATACATTTGATAATGATCATAAATTATGTTATAAGTAAAATCACAATACATTTTTAAAAATTGAATCATTTACTGCAACTCTTTTTATTTCTTCAATACTCCTATTTATATATAAGTCACATGATTTATAGAATTTATTCACTGGCATTACACATTTATCTCTAGGGCTAACAATTCTTCATTTACACAAAAATTGAAGAAAGTATAAATAACTAATCAAAGCTACTTAAGTGCCACTAAAATAGTGACTCCACTTACCATAAGATTTTTCTCAAAATTATCTGAAATATTGTACATATATAGTGATATAATGAACGTTTATCATACCTACACAATTTATTTTTTGACAGAAATCAAATAATTATTGCACACAATAGAATCACAAAGCATGATCACTAGTAATTTATCTTAAAATCACAACTTCTTATTGTGAATTGAGTGTGATCAAACGCTATGTACAAAGAATCTTTAATAATAATTTAACATAAAATATGCTATGTTTTGCCTTGTACTTTTTTTTTTCAACAATTTTCTACCAGAAACAACATTCAAACCTTGGACATTTATTAGAGCTCCAAAAGATGAAGACTGAATATAAAATAAAAACGAATTAAGACTAAAACACAACCCAAGATTCTATTCATATACTACTAACCAACTTACTATAGAAAATAATGTATACGAACCCATTACAATACCTCTATACATAAAATCTCTAATAATGAAAACCATACACATATAACATATTAAAATGCCACATAAAATCCACACATTAACCCATCTCAAAATTATAAAGTTAATCAAGATTTTCCAAATTTGTCAAACCAACTCTGCAAAAATTTGTCAAAACTCAAATTAGTGAACTAAATTCAACTATTAATCCGCTTATCTTAAACTTACAAGCGTAATTAATAAAATCCTCTTTAAAATGACTATAAATCATAATAACTCAAGCAAATTCATAATATATTACAATGGAACACATATTTGATGGAGTTCTCCAACATAAAAATGAACAGTAAAATTTACTACATAAGAAAAAAAATTGTCATCACAACCCTGTTTTACTCACACTCTCATACATTATTTCTGTCTTACAAACAAAAAACATAGCAAATTTTACATTCTGAACAATCTTTTTACTCAGCCATGTATGGTTTAATACCAAATCAATCTATTATCAAATTTATAAGTTAGAAGTATGAACTTCAAAGGTTTTATTTTAAATCTTAATTTAAAATGTAATTAAAAGTGTTTTAAAATGCACAAAAAATTTATAATTTTAAAATATTCATAATTTCCTTTAAAATTAAAATCTAAAAAAAAAACTTAAGTTCACTAAATAATATTCTTACTTCAAAATTTAATAATAGGTCAACTGTTTTAATATTAATCACAATAGATTTAAAAACTATATTTGTTATTCAGAACATACAATTTGCTATGTTGTGAGTTTTTAAGATAGAGACATCACACCCAAGTACAGCCTCTTCTTGATTTTAATAGTTACTCATTTGCTGTTATACCTAAAACTCTGAGTTTTTTCAGAGGGGGAGAGGCTGGAGAGGGCTAGGAATTGTATCAGCAACATAAAACCGTGATAATTGTATACTAAATTATGACTAAAAATTTGGGAGGGAGGGGGGGACTTAGTCCACTCCTGATGAGCCTGCAAATGCTTATTCATATTATTTTTATCACTATTAATGCAAATATGGGGGGGGGGAGCTTAGGGGGATATAGCACCCCAAATTTTAAAATTAGCACCCTCAAATAATGTTCATGTTTATGTACCAAAAACTTTTTCTTACAAAACAAAATAACTAAATGAAAAAATGCATAGGCTTAAGCACTATTAGTTTTTTTTTTTTTTAATTGTTTCTATATTAATCACCAAGAACTTTCATATTTGTTTATTGTAACACTTTGTACAGATTGTAAATTCTTTTAAATAAATAAAAAAACATTAAAACATTTTTCAATTTGAATCTTCAATAAAGAATTGTTTTCCACATAAGTTTTBAATTTGGTGATTACAAAGATATAATTACTTAAATTGAATCTATTATTTTGATAATTTCTAGATACTTACATGTGTTACAGTTATGACAATAGCTCTATTATTAGAATCTATTTCTTCAAGTATACAGTGTTGAATTGGTAATACTTCTTTTTGCGTTATTTCCTGAGCAGCCATTTGTTGGGTTATCAACTCTACTTTTTTTTTTGCATCACTAGGTCTAACATTAATTAAAATATTATTAATTAAAATATAATGCAAACTATATTGTCATAAAACAGTATCTTGAAAACAAATAATGATATTCATGCAGCAGTATTTTACTAAATATTCTTAATTATAATAGTAAGGGAATGTTTAATAATTTGATGCTGACTATTGAGTTAGATTTGTATCATGTACAAATAATTCAACTAAAATATTTATGGTATTTAGATTTTAGAATTCAAATTGAAAAGTTTATACACACTTAAATGAATAATTTTCTTACTTCAGTAATGGTATTTTGAAATTAAAATTTAATGTACGCATTTTTATGGCTACATAAACACCATAGCATATATTTCCTGGTACTAATTGATTTTTTTCTTCTCCATATTGATCATTATTATTAGATGTTCTGTTACTAATATTTGACATTGGAAATTCAACATAAACTTTACTGAAAATAAAAATTTAATCACTACATTTGGTTATAAAAATAAAATCTACTTTTGAAATATTTAACTCTTATTTATATTACAGCAGGAATCATGGACACTGTTGTGTTTAAATAAAGTATAATACAATATTACAATAATGATACATGGATTCAAAAATTTAAATATATCTGGATAGAAATATTAACATATACTTTTTAAGTGTTATCAAATAAAATAAAATAATAGTTTTCATACTTAGATGTACTAAAATATGCAGTTGGTTGGCCAACAAATTTTTGGGGAAACAGGGATTCAATTGCTTCTTTATATAATTCTTTAGGTTGATCATTTGGAAATCCAGTTAAATAAACAGTTCGATAAGGGTCATGTTCATTTAATATTCTAAGTACTTCATGTTCATCCATATATGCATTAGTCGTTCCTCGTATGAAATAATTAGGATAAAATGCACCTGCTAATATCACCTTAAACAGAAAAGTTTATTATCAATTTTCAACTTACAATTATTTTTAACTTTTTAATAATAAAATTAATTAATTTTTTTTAAATAGTACCTTACAAGCCAAGGCTTTTTCTTCAKGTTTGATCCATTTCATTTTACCAGAATTCACTACTATACCAAAATTTCTGTTCAATCTATTGGATACATCATCAATCAAGTCATATAACTCTCGCATTGCTGATAGTTGTATGAAGTTTTTAGAGGCCCATGATCTTTCAAARTTTCGATTTCGGTCAAATTCTGGCTTACTCTCAAGCCAGCTCTAAAGAAATATAGTTATTAACAAATTAAAATCAGTCAGTAAGTGAATCTTAAATATAATGATAATAATATTGTTTGTACTTGATATGCACCAATATATGCGATTGGATCACTACAAGAATAATGAGCCCAGGTCAACTTTTGTGTATATGCGTCTAAACGTTGATTAAAAGGCTGACTAAAAATACTTTTTATTGATAGACCACATGCTGAAAATAATACAGTTAATAAATTGATTATCATTGTAATTGTTAAGTTATCTYAGACAAAAGATATAAAATCTTAGTTAAAATCAGAGCTAAAAATCACTTCCAAAAAATCTGTGGTTGGAATTAATAAAATTTTCTTGAAAATCGGTAACTAGGTACAATTTAATTTAAAAAATATCTTTAGCATAAAGAATTATCACAAACAAAACATCACATCCAAATGTGTGTTATCTCCATCCAACATACCAAAAACTGTTTTACGCAGGATAACTTGACTTTCATTATATTTTTTGTAAATTACCAAAATTCCACAAAATATAGAAAAGAAATTCATCTGTGTTACATTATCTTAATTTTTTTTGATAGCATTAACCAATAATTTTTAATATTTAAACAAAAAAACCCACGACTTATGTTCTCAAACTGATAACTTTAATTGTATTTATATAAATAAAATAAAGATGTTGTAGCATAGATTTCCTATGTGGTGTGGACTTTCAATAATTTTACAATAAATGAAGAGGGAGTTAAGTTGTTGCTGCAAAATTGTTGTCATGTAATACGTTTGTAAAACAAGGACTTAACACTTGGTCCACCTCTTAATTGTTTATAACCATTAGGTAATTAGTTTTTTTGCAATCGGTTATCAGTTAAAAGTGGTTTTAAAAAATCCTAATTTTCTATGTGCCACAGCCTGGGAACTTCATCTATTTGAATTTCAATCCTTACCAAGGTTAGAATTTTATAATATTTAAAATTGCATAAATATTTGCTATAATATTACCTTAAAAATCATTAAATATACAAAAAATATGCAAAAATTGTCAATTTATAATAAAGTTAGATATAAGTTAACACGTGACTTAGTATAACCACATGTTCAACCAAAAACATAACTAATCACTGCTGTAAATGACAATAAATGGGCCTAATCAAAATTAGGCATCTGAGCGTTTTGATTGAGAGTAACTGTCATTAGCTCTTTTGATATAACCTCCATAAAAAAGTTACATTTCAAAAAAATAAATAAATTACCAATTTTATACATACATTTCATGAATTATAATTTGATTTTTATATTTAGTACAATCACAAAAAGCAATCTGGTTATCTGGTCATATTATAATAAAATATAAAAACTTCTTGTAATCTAGCTCACGAGAAAATAGCATTAAATTCTAAATAATATAAATTTTTAAATATGTTTTTTAAACAAATTTAAATTATTTCAATATATTTAAAATTGAAATTAGCTAATAATATGGTTTTTTTTTTAGAGTTACATTTTAAATAACTTACTAATATTTTTTATGGTAACAAAATTACTAGATTACAAAGATGTACTTTACATGAAATAATGTATTTTGTTGTTTATAGTACCTATGTTATTAAATATACATGTACAACAGTGGCGGATTAAGCAATTTGCCACCTACAAGCAGGACATTTGCCGCCGTTTCATTTTCAACTTTTTTTTTTAAAGAACAAAATACATTAATAAATACATTGCAAAAATAAATTATTAATTAACAAAAACAATGTTGATCAAAATAGCCTATCTGAGAATCTGACTATAAGAAAAAATGTTTATGGTAATAAGATTTATCGAAGTCAAGTGAATCACCATTTATTTTTTTTTAATTCAATATGTTTTTGGTTAAATTAATTTGGAACATAATAACTTATTTTTAAACATGATTTTTGAGAATTTACTGACAATTTTTTTTGTTGGATTATATCCTATATATACTTGAAGTCTAGGTAAAGGAATAATGGATGTGTAAATTTAGATCTGAATGATTATCATTCAATGAATTCAAAATTATATCGAATGAAGACAATCTGTTCTCCAATATTATTAAGTATATTTGATAATATTATTGTAATTAAACCAATTTATTATATWATTAGATATTAGTATTTAAGTACTATGGTAGGCTAAATTATTAATTTTTGCCAAAAATATGGATTTAAAAATGTCATATTATACATAAAATTTAATGAAATACTACTCAAGTTACATGTATCTACAAATAATATTTAACAATTAAAAAAAAGAAACAAAAACAAAAAAACAAACTGAAATAGTTATTCTTTAATTATATCAAATTTCGTCCATATCTAAAATTATTTGTTCTATAAGAATTTAACAATTTACGGATGAATATCCTATATCTAACTTCAGATGCTTTTAAAAAAATATTGTGAATTGACACTTAACTTTTTGTGGATTGTGCCTTTTTACAGTCCCAAAAGGTGATAGATAAAACACATTGTAATATCAATGCGTACATAATTCTACTTAAAATCTAAAGTATGTTGTTATTATTTACCCATTATAATAGCTTCATTTAGAATATTAAAAATATATCCAAAATAAATTAATTTTGACATTGGCGACTCTAACGGTAATTGTGCCATCACTTTTCCCATATATGTTATATCACCGTCCATTGATGAAATTACTCCATTTACAGTTGACAATAATGCTCCAACCTAAAGAAATATAATCTCAAAATAAAAACAAAATTTTAATCGCCAAAGGTTTTGGGTACACATTAAGTATCTCTGCAATATTTTAAGAGGACACCTGCATATGTTGTTTCCGTTTTAAAAAAGCATATCAAAAAATTTATGTTTAACAGTTCCAATATGTGCAATAACCTTTAATAATAGAAAACCTTATAATCAACTCAAAGATATTTGAGATTTTCTTCAARGTTTTTTTTAAATAATTTATCGTTTGATCATTTAAATAAAATCAATGTATATGTTGCATAAGTTTGAATATGAACACTGTTGACATCAATAAATGAGCTTTAATGGTCAATGTTAAAATGTATACTAAGWTTAAATTAAAAAAGTTGTTATAAACTAGTTAGCAACAATCAGGCACCATCTATTAGTAGTCATCTTTACGAAGTCAACTATGTTTCATAACTTGAATAATTTAGTTGACATGCAGTAACCAAGTTTTTATTTAAATTTTATTATCATTTGAAAATTGTATCGGCCATTCATTACCATTTTCATAATTATGTCAAATCCACCACTTTACAAGTACCCAAATCTCCAATTACAGTGGCCACCGGCAGCATCAAACATGTTTAAAATTTAAATATCCTAAAAAATTTACTATAGAGCATAAGTAATGTTCTTACCTTAAAGTTTGATATGAGAATGATTCACACTATTGTTAAAAATTATTGCATAAAATTGGAACGACTGGCCAAAAATTTGCAGTTGTACATTTGTTTGACTAAGGCATGCAATACATGCGGGTCCTTTTAAAAAATACTATTTTATTGTTTGATAATATTACCTGTTTAAGAGTACGGATTGTAAGTATAATGTTTGTTAAACATGGTGGATCTAATGCGCTTGCAAGTAATTGTTTGGGTGTTCCCATATCCAAAATTTTAGACATTAAAACAACACGACTGAGAGAACAGCGACTCATTTCTGGCAATTCATGATCTTCAAGGTCCTAGATAATTTGTAAAGCATTAAGACAAAATTTAAAATAAAAATAAAATAAAAGTAATGATAATAGAATAATTACAGAAAACTTCAATTTAGGAATCAACCTATAGACACGACCATCGGCCACTCGTCCCACTCTTCCAGCTCTTTGATTACAATTACTTTTTGACGCCCAACTCATAATTAACATGGAATAATTGGATCTCATTTCATTTTTTAATTGTTTCATCAAACAAAAATCAATCACTGAAAATACAATTACATCGGTTTTATAAAGATTTTATTACATTTAAAGCTGAAATACAAATAAAAATAAGACATAAAAATAAGCTTTAAAGTGCCTAATCATAGATATATAAAAATAAGTTTGAACTTTAGAAATTGAAAATAAAGATATATTGTATATAGAAAAGTAAGATAGAAATTCTATGCAATTCTAAGTCAGCCACAAAATTTGTTTTATAATACATTCAATATATATATATATTACTATTCAGCAACACAATACAAATAATTATGAACATTAATTAATAAAAATTAATGAAAAAAAAAAAAAATGATCACTAACAACTGATATTTTGGTTGCAAATCTAGAATACTATTATCAAAATGTTTAAAGAACATTTAGGTAGAGTTACATAAAAAAAAAATATTATCTTTATTGAAATTGTTGTATTACTACACTTTTACACTAAAACAGATATCACTGTTCAGACTATGACTCAGTCTATAATGCCACACACATATTTTAAAATGCCTATATCTAATTGAATAATTGGTGTTTAAATATGAGACTCCACCTATATCTTAGATAATGACATACTTTGAATCAAAGTTACCAAGTTTTAGAGTTGTAATCTCTTTTAACAAAAGTTGAAACATTAATACAACATTTAATACTTTAATAGAAAAAATCAACAAGAATAAAAATGTATGGACTGAAGTTTTTCGATATAAAATTTTACAAAATATCTGCAGTCCAAGCAAAGCATGAACAGAAAATCTAAAGAGAATATATTCATTCCAGAAAAACTGTGAACTATATTAAATATACTTAAATTTACACCCATTACATCTATCAATGTTGGATAAAATAAAATTTAAATAAACATTTCTTATCAAAAATTACTGCCATTTGTAGTTCAAAAGTATAAACAGAATATTTTAATGATAAAATGCAATACGCGAAGAATAACCACGAAGTTTTGAACAACAATTTTTATCTATAGGTATTAATACTTTGTTTTGTTTCTTTACAGAGCATTATAACTAAAGTTTTGATCAAATTTTAATTACTCAAAATTAAATTTTCAGTATCATTTTTAAATCTTATGTTTAGCTTTTTAATAAATATTATGTAGAAATAAATAAGCTCAAACAGTTTTTAACTATATAGGTAATTTCGGTAAGTTCATTTTAATGTAACATGCTATCTCTGATTAAATTATAAATAACTTAATTTTTTAAACAAATATTTGAAGTATACGTTAATAAAAGTATACTGTATATTTTAACTATTTAACAAACCATTATCAATATACATTTAATTTGTTATTGTTTTCTTTAATTATAAAAGATAGTTTATAAGCAATTATTTTATTTATATAAATTTAAATTAAAAATAGGTATTAGCAGTTACCAAAAAATATATCAGGTACAGTTATTGAACTCTCGGCAATATTGGTGGACAAAATAATTTTACGATAATTTAAAGGTGGCTGTATGAAAACCCGGTTTTGTTCTTCACTTGTTATCGATGAATGTAATGGTATAAGAATCCATTTATGATTTCTAAAATTTATATGGGTTAGTAAATTACTTAATTAAATAAAACAAAATATTTTTACTCAGAAGCCATTAAATCCTCCATACGTCTGTGCATTTCTTCAATTTCATAAATACCAGGTAAAAATATCAATACAGACTTTTTGGTATCATCATCTACTTTCATTTCATCAAATGCTTTAACCAATTGAATAGCTGTCATAAAACCTGCTTCATCTATCTGTGATTTATTAAACTCCATTCGTCGAGCCTAAATTACATAAAAAATAATTTAAGCATATGTAAATTAACAGGCTTCAAAGAGTAGTATTGTTCACACAGAGCTTTCTGTGCTGTGGATAGTACAAGAAAAAAGGACGTCAATAACTTAATTGTATACACAAATTAATAGAGCAGAAAACAACTACTATTTTTCAAAATGTTAAATACAAATACATTTAAACTGTTTAAAATATAGCTTAATGTTTAGGYTCATAAGATTAAAAGTTTATTATAATAAATGAGTACTTCCACGTTGGAGGGAAGTAAGACAAACAGGACATAGCATTATATAAATGAGTAAAGAACAGAATTGACTTTGTAGGGTAGATTCTTTGCTATTTTATTTTTAATTAGGTCATGTACAGAAGATCTTTTAGGCTTAAATATAACTAATATCTCAGTTGTTTAATCTAAAGATGGATATGTCATGTTTTAGATAATATTGTAATTTTTAATTCTGACCATTAGATATTTTACTTTAAAAACACCCTAAACCGCTTTATTATCCATTTTTTGTAGATATGCTTTTTGTAATTGAATTGAATTGTGCTGCTGCTGATGGAAAGTAGCAAAAGGAGAAGTTACTTCTTCCACTATTACAACAAACAGCGATTTTGGTTGCATATAGCACAATGTTTTTCAGGAATAAATCTCCATTAAGAATTACATTATCAAGATATGAAATAGCCAATAATTATTATTTTAATGTTCTCAGTCTAACTATAATATTCAAAATCTCTAATACTTGAGGCTTATCCATAATTAAAACTCGTCATGTATCGTTAGRTCTAGGGAAGAGCATTTAAAATTAACTGAACAGGAAAATGGACACTCRATAGGTCAATTAGATTTTTGATATGGCATTTTAAACTAGTTAGGATTGAAATTATGAACAAATCAAGAATATTATTATAATTATAATTAACACCAAACAGATTTTTAAAATACAGCATAAAAAGAAAAAAATATACAATGGTAAAATAGTTAAAATAGTTAACAACTTGTGAAACAAACTTATAATAAACTGACTTAAATTAATTTGAATGACTTAATTGATAAACTCTGAAATATAACAAAAAAGTAATAATAAAGTGAGCCTCTGTAGTTCATATTAAAGCCGCTATGTAAAGTTTAATACTCAGAAGAGTTATTTAAATTGTCCATCAATCTTGAAAGTGGGGCATTCCTGGAGAAGTTAGATTTATTGGTAGATGTATAGAAAGTACTTTGGAACTTGTATTACTARGAATACGAAAACTCAGTTCACCCAGAATCYTCGGGGCATCAACTCAGCCTTCAATCAGATACTGAATAAAAGTGATACCAAAATGATCACGCCTGGCCGAAAGGGCATCTAGTCTAAGCGCTTGACTAACAGGCCTGTAATCATGTGGTGCATGAGAGATATTGAGGCAATAACCGGCAAAGCGCATAAAACAGTTTTGAACACGATCGATTCCATAAATGTCAACGGCGGTATAAGGTGACCAAACAACAGATTCATATTCAATAACCGAATGCACCAATGCTTTATAGAGAGCCAAAAGGCAATTAGCAGAACTAAAGTTGACTAAGTGATGTCTGATAAATCCTAAAACATGAAAGGCTTTTCTAGTCATATGATCAATATGAGGGCTGAAATTAAGAGATGGTACAAATAAAACGCCTAGATCCTGTACCTAGCTGACACGTTGAATAGATATACCTCCTAGCCTATAGTCAAAAGAAATCACTGACTTGGAACGATGAAGACATTACTTTGCATTTACAGATGTTAAGAGATAAATTAAAAGTATTGCACCAATTGGTAAATTRAYCTAGGGTGTTTTGTAGAGAGAGACAATCATTATTAGTGGTTATCCTATGAAAAATTTTAGAATCATCAGCAAAAAGTAGAKACTACAAAGGGAAATAGCTGAGCACATGGTATTGATGAAAATACTAATAGGGGGCCTAAATGGCTACCCTACAGAACTCTGGATGACGCTCAGAAAAAATCGGAAGATTTGCCGAAGAGGCTAACAAATTGTCGACGATCACTAAGGTAGGAACCTAACCACGATAAGAGTGGTTCTCCAACACCAAGCCTGTCAAAGATAAAAATAAGTACATAGTGGTCTAGGGAGTCAAACACCTTGGGAAAGTCTATATACAGGGTGATTCGTTTATCAAACAACACTCATTATTTATAAAAGTATTGACTTTTTTCAAAATATTGTTTTACATAGTTTCAAGTTGTTAAAAAAACCAA